CCAACTGTCCTCAGGTGTTCTGGTCCACCTGTCCGCAGGTGTTCTGGCCCACTCCTCATAATCAAATGGGTCCAGCTGTCTCAGGTTTGAAGGGTTCCTTTTTCTCCAGATGTTTCAGCTCCTTCCACAGATGTTCAACAAGATTTAAATCAGGGCTCAGAGGACACTTGAAATATGTCCAGTGTTTGGTTCTGAGCCATTCTTCACAAGAGAACATTATAAGCAGAACAGAACCGGGCCTGCTCTGCTTCACTGCAGTTTTGGGTCTGTGATGGGACAGAGCTGATGGGACTTGTTGTCAGAAAGCTCCAGTTTTGTCTCATTCTCCCAGAAGCTTTGTGGCTTCCCAATATGAATTTATACAAATTCCAGTCTGGCTTTGTTTATGATTTATTGTCCTCCACGGGCGTCTTCTGTTAAGTCCTCTTTGTCTCAAACAGTGACTGATGGTGTGAGCTGACAATGATGACCTTTGACCTTGCAGTTCACCTGTAATCTCTGTGGAAGTTTGAGCTCTTGAGTTACCTTTTGGATTAAATGTCTCTTCGGTTTGTCATCAGTTGTCCTCCTGTGGACACGTCCAGGGAGGTTGTCTCCAGTTCTGAGGACCTTAAACTCTTGAATCATCAGAGCAGCTGCAGTCAGAGGAACATCAAGCTGATGGAGACCTAGCCTTTACCTTCAACATGCTGCTCAGTTTTTGTCTTTCTAAGCTCCCGAGACGACTTGTCCTCCGTTTTCTGAGCTCCATGTTCAGTGAGGTACACGCCAAGACACCAAACAGCCCTGTGACTACCTGTCACCCTTTAAATAGGCAGACCCACTGATTACAGGTCACATCTTAGTTTAACGTGTCTTTTCTAAGGATAATGTCTTTTTTTGTGTGTCAAGTTCAGTTTCATTAGTTGAAATAATTAAAAATAATTCTGCAGAAATTAAATTCATTTTATTTAGTAGATTTTTAGGTGTTTTTTTTCTTGTTACGTTTGTCATTTTCAAGTTATTTCAGTGACCTCAGTGGTTTATTTTACATTTTTATAAAAGGGTTCAAAGTTTTACACATCTCTCTTTAAAAACGTTCAGTTATTTGCAACAGACGCTGATTAACGGATCACAAACATTACATTACAGCAACAAAGAACAGTTTATAACACAAAGACGAGCCAAACAGAAAATGTTTGTCAGACAGTAAACGTGTATAAAACCTTCTGTAACAGCGGGCGCATCGTTCGAGGGTTCTGTAGTCTGGCTCATACTCATCAGGTGGACCCGGGGACCAGCAGGTTCCTGTTCAGAGCCAAGACAGAAGGACAAAACATGAGGCACGGCAGAAAATATACGGTGCTTTTAAAAACCGTTATAATCATAACTGTGAAGATTTGGTACTTTATTTGGATTATTAACTTTTTAGGCATCGCTAACCAAATGATATAAACTCACCGGATTTGTAACAGAAATAAATAAATAACACATTAACCCAAAAATATTTCTGTTTTTAACCATTCTGGTGAATTTCTCATGTATTCATAGAAAACTTTATAAATATTTCTGCTAATCAAAAGCTGTACGGATATTACATTTGTTCAAACGTCTCGTATTTTTCGGACTTTAAGGTGCACTTAAAATCCTTTAATTTTCTTAAAAATCGACAGTGAGTCTTATGATCAGGTTGAATTATGTATTAATGCTGATTGTGCTTATTGACCTCGAACCAATTTTATGTTGTTATTGTGAATGAGTTGAATAAAGTTTGACTTGTTTGACTGTTTTGTTTCGCTTAATGCGCCTTATAGTCCGAAAAATACGGTAATAAACGCGACTTTATTTACCTCCAAATTCTTCCTATAGGTCACAACAATTAACACCAAAGTAATGTATTTCAGGTCCGGCATGCAGATACCATCCACAAAAAATAGTTAATTATTTTACAATAAAATTATAAGTTGTTATAATATTATATTTTCTGTACTCTTACAACTTGAGACTGTACAATCTTCATGTTTCTAACTTTTTAATTAGCTCATAGTACCAGCCCTAAACCTCCCCTTTAGTGGCATTAAAGCGTTTATAAATGTCATTGTTCTAATTTATCTGAAAGTTTCACAGAAGTGACTCTGACTTTAATGCAACTGTTCAAACTTTTATTTTTAAAAAGCAAACCTTATCCAAAACCAGGTGTGGATGTTTAACATTGTTTTACTTCATTTAGATGCATACAATAACTTTAAATAGTTTTCAGCCGTCTAAAAAGGTAGTAAAAAGATACTCATACTAAAGGCTTTAAGACAAAATTAATAAACAAACAACTGCACAATATTTTTCTGCCATCAATGGTTAACGTGCCATTAAATTTAAAATCTTAAGTAAAATTTGTGGCCACGTGCCGACACACATCACCGACGTTTGTGCTGTTGCTGCCGGTTTGAGTATTTATAAATATAGAAATATTCATATTGAACATTTTATCCGTCTATAACAACCAGATCCTGTTGCTTCTCTGAATAAAAAACACTAACATCCTGATGCACGCTCAATAATCCAGGTAGAAAAATCTAAAAAAAAGTTAAGTCAGGTGCTTTGGACATTCAATAAATAAAAATTATTATTGATGATTAATCACATTGATGAACATATAAGCACCAATATATCTTTACAGGAGGTGGGGGCGGTTTTTAACAGATATTTGGGCTGGAAAACCTCGACTCTATCTGGCAACACTGACTACAACCCAGCTGATGTAGGAGTCACGCTTCCTTGTGTTTGTTGACCCATCAATGCTTTGTTTACATTGAGTGCAGACCCGCATTTCAAACTTGCATTCAACATGTCCAACCTGGAAGACCACTGGAGCAAACTCTTTCCAACGGATCCGTTCCGACAGTTCACGTCCGTTTTAATACTTTGCAATAAGTACCTTTAACGCAGAGCACCAACAATGGGAGGTTTCCAACAAATCACGGCACCGCTGCGATGAATTAAAATGTCTAACAATGACGAAACGGGCATTTTAATCCAAACAATCTGAATCACTGCAGTGTAAAATATTATCTTTACACTGATTTTCCAGTCTCTAATCTTGAGTGGCAAGAAAAATGGAGGGAAGGGGGAATTAAAAATGGCACGATGGACCCTCGGAGGGACCCGCAGATCGAACTGTTCTCTCCTCCATGTTGCTTTGGCGGCAGACACCGCTCGAGCATTGTGGGAGATGTCTGCCGGTTAAAATCACATTTTCTAGTTGCATTAATCGTTAAAAGCGCCTCTTAACTTCCTGTTAGGCGTACAGGTGGTTAAACCGCGAATTAAATCATGCACATCACCCAACTACCTGCTCGCCACCGTTCGGTCTCGTGCACAATCAATTGAAACAACAGAAGAAGAAAAAAAAAAAAGAGGGGGGGGGGACTCACCGATCAGTTAAAAAATGGTAATTTTCTGTACACGTGCAACAACGCTATTGCCGCTGTGTGACTGTAACGCAGGCACACCGCCGCCGCTTGTGTGGATTTAATGTCGAAAAGCGGAGCCGCTAGCTTGACAACAAAAAAAATGTGCCGTTTCCGCCCCTTAGTCTGGAAGGAGAAAAAAAAAAAAGCACGTCGGTTTATTCAGAAGGCGGGGCCATCAAATTCACAGACTGCAAAGCATATGGATTTAAACATCACCGGACAAGTGCTGCTTGTGCCGCATCCATGTGTTGTACAGATCTGTTGAAGTGTGAGGAAGCGGCGGACTGGATCCTTTAAAAATGACCCTGCTACAGTTCACATTTTATCAACGTTAGACTTTATAGAAAACTACTGTTTTGTGTTTTTTAAATGCAACCAGTACTAAAAAAATATTCTACACATTACAAACTCCAAAAGTACGTTGTTTTTCCAGATTTTTTTCTCCCCTCTCGTCATATTTATTATCTGCATCGTTTTTATGTCTATATTCTGATTTACTTCATTTTGTATGTTGCTTTGTGTGTTACCTGTTGTTCTGTCTGTACAGCACTTTGGTTGGCCTTGTCGCTGTTTTAAGTGCTCTATAAATAAAATGGTGCGGTACATCCTGATGAATGCTCAATAATCCAGGTAGAAAAATGCAAAAAAGTTCAATCTGGTCTTCTGGATATTCAAAAAAACAAAACAAAAAAAATGTAGATACGTTTCGTCTTTCATCTGAAAGACTTCCTCAGTCTGAGGTGCTGTATTCAGCTCAGTCTCTTAAATAGCACCTTCTCAGAGTGGATCAACCAGTTTGCTGCTGACAACCAAAACCAGCTGATCACATGCTCAAAAAGGATCAATCAACCTAACAATGGATCATTAGCACACTGATGGCTGTTTACTGTTCACAGGGGGGTGAGTGATACTAGCAATCACAGCATTGTAAGAGGGGGACAGTTGAACCCGTGTTGATATTTTATGGGTTGTTAATATAAAAGTTTGATATGTTTACTCAATTTACAGTTTACTTTATAATGATAATTAAAATATTTGCCTGCAGTTTTAGCTCTGAGTCTCAGAAAGGATCAGTACTTTGTGGAAATGTAAAACACTGATGCCAGTTTATTTTGCTCATGAAGTTTATCATCACACTTATTAGTCATTTACTTTATATCACACTCTGTTAAATCTCATCAGCTGAATCCCTTCAGCATCAGTGTGTGAAGCTTTGTAACTTCCGTTTCTCAAACCCAGCTCCAGAACCAGTCTCTGACCACAAACGTACTGTCTGTATTTTTCTCTGATAAGATTGCAAATGAGGTAATGGCTGTTGTGTCAAAGCAAGATCTGTTACATGTGAAGATGCATAAATAAAGCGGCATTGCTCGTGTTTTTTTTTTAGAGAACACACAGGAATTCTTGGGCTGCGTTTCCATTCCATGTGTTCTCTCCTTCTGCAGAAGAAATCAATAAATCTTACTCTTTTATTTTTATCAAGTTCTCAGTCTCAAAATTTATTAAACAACAGGTTTAAAAAACTCCACACCCGGAGGCTCCGCCCCTGTTTAACGATGGACGGTTTCTTTTCACAAAGATGGCCTCCTTTACTCCTCTCTCAAACCATCGTTCCTCTCTGTCCAGGATGTGAACATCTTCATCCCTGAAAGAGTGACCGCTGGCCTGGAGATGAGTGTAGACCTCAGAGTCCTGGTCTGATGATGGTGATCTTCTGTGCTGGTCCATCCTTTTGGCCAGTGGCTGTTTAGTTTCCCCGATGTAAGACTGATCACCCTCCTGACACTGAACAGCATACACAATATTACTCTGTTTGTGCCGGGGGACTGGATCTTTGGGATGAACCAGTCTTTGCCGTAATGTATTTTGGGGTTTAAAAGCCACTGGGACGTTATGTTTAGAAAATAAACGTCTCAGTTTCTCTGATACTCCCTCAACATATGGAATGACCACTGGTCTGGGTTCCTCCTTTTCACCTGATGGCTGACTGGAGTCCTGTTTGGGTTTCTTCTCTGCTTTCAGGAAGGCCCAGTTAGGATATCCACATTGCTCTAGAGCCTGTCTTGTGTAAGATTTCTCCTTCTGCCTGGCTCCTGAGCTAGTGGGGACGCTGTCTGCTCTGTGGTACAGAGTCCTGATGACTCCTAACTTGTGCTCCAAAGGGTGATGGGAGTCAAACTGCAAATACTGGTCTGTGTGGGTGGGTTTGCGGTACACCTCAGTTTGCAAATGTCCTCTATGAGAGACTGAGACCTCACAGTCCAAGAAAGCCAACCTGCCATTTTTTACATCTTCTCGTGTGAACTTGATGTATTTATCCACAGAGTTGATGTGGTCAGTAAAATGTTGGACTTCCTGAGATTTAATTTTAACCCAGGTGTCGTCAACATACCTGAACCAATGACTTGGTGGTGTCCCTGAAAAGGACGTCAAGGCTCTTGTCAGCAGCAAACTGGTTGATCCACTCTGAGAAGGTGCTATTTAAGAGACTGAGCTGAACACAGCACCTCAGACTGAGGAAGTCTCTCGGATGAGAGACGAAACGTATCTACTTTTTTTTTTGCTTTGTTTTGTTTTTTTTGAATGTCCAGAGGACCAGTCGTTTGAAATATAAATAACGAAGTAAAGTAAAAATATGTCAAAATTCTACTTAAGTACAGTGACAAAGTATTTCTACTTTGTTACATTACAACACTGCTCCTTAGGGGTGACAAGGCTGGATGATATTAGGAATAAGATCATCAGAGGTACAGCACAGGTTGAACAACTGGGAAATAAAGCTAGGGGTGCCAGACTGAGATGGTTTGGACATGTCAAGAGGAGGGACAGTGGGTATACTGGTAGAAGGATGTTAGAAATGCAGCTGCCAGGAAAAAGACAAAGAGGAGACATATGGATGCAGTTAGAGAGGACATGAAGGTTATTGGAGTGAGGACAGAAGATGCAGAGGACAGAGTGAGGTGGAGGAGGATGACTCGCTGTGGCGACCCCTGAAAAGGGAAAAGCCGAAAGAAGAAGAAGAAGAAGGTGTAAAAACGTATCTTCAACGGTTTCTTTGATTGCTTTCACCAGACATCCAAAAAATCCGAGCTCCCAGTGTGTCTTTGAATCCAGCACGAAACCTACTTGTCGCCCCTCCCCTTTAGATGCAAATGTAAGGCAGGTAGTTAAAACATTTAATCAAACACAAACTTATATGTAATGTTTTTATTTATTTAGGATGGCTAACCAGTTAATAATCGAAATAACAAAGCTTTAAGTATAAAAAAATATCTTTGTTATGTTAAAAGTCTAAATAAAGAATTAGAGTTTTACCCAATACCAGTTTGATTTTTATATGATTAATCGGATTGCCGTAAACCACACCAACGACGTGATTACGCAACGTCGCAATGATCGTGCTTCGGAAATGGAGCGAGGAGCTGGAAACAAGACTCTTCCCTTGTTTTTGAAGGCTTTGTTGTTTAGTAAAACGAAGTTACCGACGAGCAGAGGAATACTCACATCGGACTGAATGTTAACAACACAAGCCATCGAACACTTTGTGAAAGTAAGTAGCTTTCGCACGGGATTAGCTTTTAGCTAACTTGTTTACAAGAAGTAACCAGTCAGGCCTGAGAGCTGAACAACCCTCCAAGTTCTTATCTTATTTATGAGCAACATCTATACGTAAACAAATAAACAACCACTTCGGTTTTTGTTGCTATTTCTGGCAGCTGCTTTGTAAATTATCTGGAGCCGTAACCATTTAATCAAATATTACTTTTCCATTGAATCCAACCATTGTCTGCTGCTGTTTTTATACAAAAACGTGCAAAAGTTTAACAAAATTGTGCTTAATGAATGGTTTACAGGTGTATAAATACAAGGTAGATATAAATGTGCTGGTGATCTTTAAGAGCATTTTAAAAGCCTTCTAAAATAACATTACTTTTCTTATATTATTTAAAAAAGGCCAACAATATGCTAAAAAATAGCAATAAATTATAGAAACATTTAGTGTAAGAACAAATAAAACTAGAGAAATTGTATTTTCTTATTAAAGACAGTGTGAATGCTGTTTTACTGAAATCAACTAAAGTTTAAATTGAGATGATGAAGCTAAATAGAGCTTTAGCTAAAACCCCATAAGTAACTAAATGCTAGCTAAAACATTTTAAAAAGCCAAACACAAGATAAAAGTTAAAAATAATTCAAACCAAACTTAAAATAGCTAAAACCTGATAAAAACTGCTAGCTAAAATGGCTCACCAGGTAAGCTAAAAGATGCAAAAAGTAAGGACAATTTAAAAAGTAGCTAAATGTTAGCTAAAACAAGCAAAAGGCATGCTTAAAGTGGCAGAACAGCTGAAAATACAATAAAACAAAGTTTTGGAGGAACTGGAGAGAGATCAATGTTTTTCTATGGGGAAATTTAAATAAAGATAAATATGTTGAAAAGTTAAAAAAAAAAAAAAAGGTCATCACACCCATCGCCTGAATGAGCTGAACATTTCGATGAATGGCTAAAATAATTTACACAGAAGTTCTTAAACAGCAAAAAAAATCAAGAAAGTTGAGTCAGCGTTCACATAACAAAAAAACACAAACAACTAAATATTATACGTCATTTTAGGCCTAAAATAGGTCTTGGAGAGTCACTGCGTTTATGTGCTTTTAACTTTTTGAAGAAAACCTCTCTGAGTTTAATTTGATGAGATTTGAGCTGTTTTTGCATTTGATTTAAAGTAGCAGCAAACTATTCAAGTTCTGACTCTGAGCAAACTTTTAGGTGGAGCAAAACGAAAAGTGACAACTCTGTAATGTCTCAAAGACTTGTAATCACCTTAAAGCAAACAAAACACTGATCAGCTCCTTTTTTAGACGAGAACAGACAAAAATCTGAGTCAGTCATGAACTTAAACTCTTACAATGAGCTATTTTAAAGGCAGGTGGATTCACCAGATGTGAGGTTTGTCTGATATTCTGTCACTGCAGTTAATTCATTAAGTCTAGAAGAACTAACTGGTTGTCATTCTGTGGAGATCATTTTGAACGATGAAGAGAAAACCACGCGTGTGACTCGTCTAATTGGACCTGACCGGCTTCTCTCTGTCCGCTCGTGTCACAAGGTGGCACTGAACGCTCCGTGACTGATCCGGGTTGTTTCGTCATCGTGTTGAATCTTGTCGTCTCTTCGCAGTGCGGTTCTCGGTAGGATGAGCAGGAATCACGTTGACGATGTGAGTAACCTCCTTTTTCGTGCAAACGTTGCTCTTTAGCGCGAGTTCTGCTTTTCGTGTCACAAGCGCCTCCGCTGAAGAGCAGGCCTCGGCGTAGGAACTTTTCACCTGTTACAGACGCACAAATAAATCATAAAACTCTTGTGTATCTTTGCTTTATTTTTTATTTATTCAGGAGTTCGTTGCAGTGCGAGTGCAGGACCCTCGCATCCAGAACGAGGGGTCTTGGCGTTCATACGTCGACTTTAAGATATTCCTGCACGTGAGTCCTAAACAGATGAATTCAACAAATGACGGCGCTGGTTTCTGGAGATGCAGAGGGTTATTATTATTATTGATCTGCATTTAGTTTGAAGACATTTTCTTCAGCGTTTTAAGGTCTGAATCATTAGGTTTAGTTTTGTTCACATTTTCAGGCATGCTTTGAAATGTGAAAAATAAAGTGATTCGTGATATTTACTGTAATGATTGTGCGATATATATTATGGAATGATGATGAAATACTTTTCTTGTGAGTTTGCTCACTGTGGCAACCCCTGAAGAACGGAGCAGCTGAAAGAAGCTTGCGTTATTCTCCACTAACCCCAAAATTATAGGTTATTTTTATTCTTTATGCGACTATGGTCCGTTTTTGGTCCTAAAATGTTAAAAAATAATAATAATTTATTTGCTTTGGGCTGGAAAATCTTCCTCTAACAAACTTAAAGTGGCCCATGAGCCACTAGTTGATAATCACACACGTTTTATTTAGTTAGTGAAGGGGCAGAAAAGATTCTCCCAGAGTCACAATAAACCATTGACTGATTGATCAACCGATATTAGTCAATAAAAAAATCATCAATCAGCCATACAACAAGCTTACAGTGTGCCACAGTTTAAATTTCATTAGGCATTTAAGTTCTTTTAAGAGTGCTAAATGCACGTTTAAAACAATAATTATTACTGTTCTGTTTCTGAAAAATAAATATTGATTAAAAAAAATTTAAAAGAAGGATAAAGATGTGCGTCGCCCTGATTTCTATAAATCGTTATCGGCCTTAGAAATCTTAAACGGGTCAACCTCTAACCACGATAATAAATCAAATGATGTGTTGCAGCGATTATAAACAGAAACAAAGCACACACGTTGAAACTTTATTTACAAGAAAATCGCACCTGATGATTCTTGGAAAGCGATTCTCGCCCGATAAGAACGAGCGTTGGGCACCAGGAGTTTATTTTTAATTATTATTATTTAAATCTCAAACCTGGGGTTGTATTTTTACACTGAATGTGCACTTTGTTGACGATGTTGCCGTGGCGACGCCTGCCGTCAGCAGAGAGCCCCGTGCAGGCAGATTTGTAGCGTGGGCGATGACTCATCATGACAAACCTCATGACCTCACATGAGCTGACATCAGCTGTTCTGATCCGAGGAAGACCAGTTTCTACTCTTCACCACAAACATCACATTGTTGCTGGTTTGTTCCATTAGTGTCATAACAACAGATAAAAACCACGTTTGGGTGTTAAGTTAATAAAAATGATAGTCGCCCTGCCTGCTAAAGTTGTAAAGAAGGTTTGTTCAATCAGTTTGTGCTGCGAGAGCGTGTTGGGGACGACTCTCAGCTACTACCACACCCAGTTTTACTTGTCCGTGTGTACAAATGGCTGCGTTGCGTCATTTTTGTGTTTACCAAACTCATTAAAAGTTTATACATTTCTTAAAAATAAATGTCTATAAGTAGTTGAGGTTTTCTTTTCAAACTTTAAACTCAAACGTACAAAGTTTATCCTGAACTGTATCAAGTTTGAAAGCGTTTACTCCGGTAGTTTTCCAGCGGCGGTGGAGCAGCGGAGCAGATTCTTCGTTTAGCTGAGTAGCGTTTTCACTAACTTTGGAAACCGTTAGCGGAATTAGCTTCCGCTAAGTTAGGTTTCACCAACTCTAAGTCTGCTAACAAAATTCACAGCTTTGTTCCGGTCTGTCGTGGGCGTGTCCCGAAGAGTCCGTTAGGCTGACTACGTGCACACGTGACGAGACGTGGTCGGTCAACGCAGCTTCAGCTGGAAGGAGACGAAGACTGATGGAAGTCTTAGCGGTTTAGCGTTAGCTAAGCCAAGTTTTTAGTTAGCGTAATACTCAGATGACCGCACTGAAGGCTGTCGAGTTATTTGACTGACGAACATTAATTTGGTTTAGTTTGTAGGGAATCAAACACGTCCGGTAAATTTATTTTCAGCCACTTCAGCGGTTTCTGAAGGTAAACAAACGCAGACATTAAATTGTGTCTTCCTGTTTGTAATTTAAAAAGACATAAAGCTTGTTTTTTTTTTTTACCAGTCATCGTGACTTTGCGGTGAGCGCCTTTAGCTGCTGCAGCTTCACATCGACATCAGGGGTCTCTCGTCTCAGGAGCAAATCTGACGTGATGAAGCTTCTTTTCATCCATAAGATCAGTTGGATCAGCTGGATCATGTCAGCGCGACAAGTAGTCGGTCATTTGTGTGGGCTGCATCACTTCCTGTTTGATTCCCAGCCTGAAATCCAAATCTTAGCATGTAGGAGCTGTTTCTTCCTAATTTTTAGGGTTCTTTCTGACGAAGTTTGATTTAAGCACTTTTGAGCATTTCCTTTTGCACGATTTAGTAAAAATAACAATCCAGTTATGTTTTTGTTTGGTTCTGCGTGACTTTTTCAGTCTCTTTTATTTAATTTGCTCTCAGACCAACAGTAAAGCGTTCACGGCCAAGACGTCCTGCGTGCGCCGGCGCTACAGCGAGTTCGAGTGGCTCAAGAAGAAGCTGCAGAAGAACGCAGGTTTGGTGTAAGTCGTCCGGTCCAGTTCAGATAGTTTGAAGTGAGGTTCTGTTGGTTTATGAACAGTTAATATCTTACCTGTTGTAGCTCTTTGAACAACCTGTTTGCAGAAGAGCTAACAAGCTAACGGCTAATCACATCAAGTCTTAAATCTTTTTTCCTTCTAGTCCAGTCCCAGACCTTCCAGGAAAATCCTTCTTCTACTTCAGCAACGAGGACTTTCTGGAAAGACGAAGGAAAGGACTTCAGGACTTTTTAAACAAGTCAGTTCTCCTCCGGCTCTTTTGTAAAGTTTATTTTTTTTAAATCCACACTTCCTGCCAACAAACATGTTTATCTTTTGTCACGGCGGCAGAGTGGTGCACATGACGGTATGTCTGTCGGACAGCCAGCTCCACCTGTTCCTGCAGACCCAGCTGCCCGTCGGCCACATCCAGGACTGCGTTCAGGGCCTCACGCCCTTCTCCGTGACGGACGCCATCCTCACCTACGCCTCGTCCAATCGGGGCCTGGCTCAGGCTCAGGAGGAGGAGTCCATCAGGGAGCACAGTTTGACCATTTCTTACGAGTCCATGGAAAGGTACGATACGAGAATCTGATTTTATTCTAAATAAACACGATGCAACCGAAACTGACAGCTGAAATATGCTAAAGCAGCTTAAACTGAGGCGAAGCTAAGTGAAGCAGAACATTAGCTAAAAGGTAAAATAAGCAAATCGTTAAAGCCAAAAGGAGAAAAAGGCTCAGTCGCAATTAACTATGCAAAAGGCTAGCAAAAAGCTAAAATAAGCAAGCCATTAGCAAAAAGCCAAATGCAACAAAAGACTAGCTGAAAGATACAATAATTAAGTTATTGGCTAAAAGCCAAAAGGAGCAAAATGCTAGCTGATAGTAGCAAAAGGGTTGCTAAGAGCTAAAAAAAAAAAAATAGCCAAAGAGTAATGAAAGTAGTAAAAGGTTCGCTAAAAACGACAGCTAAAAGTAGCCGAAAAGTAGCTCAAACATGAAAAGTAGCACGAAACGACAAAAAAATCTTTTCAGATTTCAAAGAAAATGTTTTTGAAGAAATCTTGATGCATTTCTATGAAAATGTTTTGATTTGTATAAAAGTTACAAAAAGTAAAAGTCGGCCTGAATGAGCTGAAGGTTTTCATCCATGAGTGATTTCACTCATTAAATGACTAAACTGTCTTGACATGTTGATACTTGATGATGTTTTGGTTTCCCTTCACTCTCCACAGTCCAGTCCCTCATCAGCCCAACGTGACCCCAAACCCTGACATGCTCCCGTGTGAGCAGTCCAACCCCCCGGTAGATGTTCTGGACTCGGATGAAACGCTGCACAAGAAGAAACCTTCGCTCAGGATCTCCCAGAAAAGCAACCACCTGGAAGTGGTCGTGGAGGACCATGAACTCTCACAGGCCACCTTCTACGTTGGGGAGAGTCCCAGCGATTCGGGGAGTCTCAGCTCCGTGGAGCAGATGGAACAAAGGAGCTGCCTGATCCGGACACCGGTGGACGTCCACTCGCCCATGGACGTGGAGACTGTGGATCGTTTAGGGTCTAAAGAAAACCGAGTCCATTCTGAGCCTGAAATGTTTGTGATTTCTGAAGAGATTTCACCTTCGCCGGAGGACTTCTGCTCTGAAAAGCTCCATTTTGAAAATCACGTGACGTTCCAGGTTTATGAAGGTCAAAGAGCAGAAAGAGACAGAAATTCAGATGGACCTGGCGCCAAACGTGAAATCCTCCTTCGCTCAGAAATCACTGTAGAGACCCTGAATGCGAGCGGCGCACCTGAGGTGGAACCCACTGACTCGATACCAGAAGTGCTTCAACAGGAAGTAGAACACGGAGTCAAAGAAGAAACGGCGCTCGAGATCCATCAGAAGAGTCCAAGTGGGAATAACACAACTGAGGTGGAACGAAGTGACTCAGGAAAAGGAAAGCAACACATGGACGAAGATGAAATCCTTCAGGAGACTCTGGGTGGGAGCGGTGCACCTGAGGTGGAACCCAGTGACTCGGTGCAGGGAATGCTCCAACAGGAAGTTGAACACACGGACATGGAAGAAAGCCCGAGTTCAAATGGGGACAGCGCACCTGAGGTGGAACTCAGTGGTTTGGTACAAGAAGCTGAAACTTCAGACAGAGATGAAGTCCTTCAGTCAGAGGTCCATGTGGAGACTCCAAATGTGAACGGTGCACCTGAGGTGGAACCAGATCACTTGGTACAAGAAAAGCACAAACAGGAAGTGGACAGAAACGACGTCCTCCTTCAGTCCCAAGTCCACGTGGAGACTCGGAATGTAAACGGTGCACCTGAGGTGGAGCCCGGTGAGTGGGTCCAAGGGAAACAGGAAGTTGAGCGCGCGGACAAAGGCGAGAGCAACTCTCTGACGTCTTCCACCGAGAGCATCATGAAGTGCAGCGAGGAGGAAAGCGTTTGTGGGGACACCGAGGACTCGGTGACGTCGTCTCCAGAGGACGTCAGAAACTGGTCGGGAGGAGACGCCTTCAACGAGAACGCTCCGGAGCTGCACCTGAACGGGACGCTCGAGGGGAAAGGGGACACTTCTGATCAGGAGGACGGAGAGCAACGCGTGACCAACGTCAAGGATCTGGTTAGATGTCCAGAGCCTCGTCCAGCAGATGGACGCTTGACTGGAAACATCTTGGAGAGCAGCTGCCTGACTGGAGGAGACAACGGTAAATTTACTAAACAGGAAGCTCCGCCCTCAATGAGTGGCTCTGACGAGACGCGTTGGTGACGTCAAATCTTTAAAACGACTAAAAATCATTCCGTTTGGGCAGTGTGGTGGAAACCTGCAGGTCTTTTATTAATATGAACTCAAAGCAACGTTTAAAATCTGAGTTTATTTACGGCCCGGAGCTTTAGAAGCTGGCGTTTCCTTTCTGATCGGTCAGATTGATCAGGTTCGGAGGCGAAGTCTCCGAATGAAAGCTCCGCCTTCTGGTTGTTCACAAACAAACACTTTAAAGACAAGTTGAGAGTATACGCTGGAAGTTGCAATAACATGACAGAATTTTGCGTTTTAAAAAGGTTCAACCTGCGATTATTCTGGAGATGAAACCGAGCTCAGTGCCGGCTTCTTTTTGTGCAATAAGATTCAAATGTTGAAACTGTAATTTTTGTTAAAAGCTGAACATGTTCACTTCTAGAAGGGATCTCGGAATGATTACGACAGAAAGGCCTCCAGCTGTTACAGGGGTTTGTTTTATTTTTAAAAATCAATGCTTGTGTGTTTTGGTCATTTGTACCCAAATGAACCCCGACTGTTTGAGCTGGACCAAAAAAAATCATTTCTGGACAAAGATCCTGTTAAAGCGACCACGTGAGGTTGTTTCTGTCGGCTTTAAAATGCCGATGAGCTTCACTGACGGACTTCAGAGCAGTCGAGTCAAATGTTCAGACGAGCGACGAACCCTGTTCAACCAGGAGTTCATGAGCAGCAGCGACGGAGACGCAGACAGCTTTTCAAACGCACTTTCAGGAAATGTTTTTAAAAACGAGCTTGGTTCAAATAAAGTTTGGTTTGTTATGAAATTCATGAGACATTTAAAGCTGATTTATGTCTGTTCTTCTTCATTAGAGCTGGTTCATCCTAATTAAGTTCAGCTGATCCAACTCTCCAAAGGTTCCAGTTTGGGCTCGCTGCTGTTTCGATGCACCTTCTCTGGGCTTTTTGTGCCGACTCGCACGTTTCAATGTGCTGCTTGTGATTTGTGTCTGCTCGGCAGACGTTTTCTGTTGTTTCTTTTAAAAAGAAGGTCAAAAGGAAACGATGACACTACTGTTCACAAACATGGAGCCAAGATGGAGTGAGGGCGTGTCCATGTGCAAAATGCAATTTGTAACTTTATTTGAATTAAAAGTGTTTTCATCCACTCATTTATTCCTCTTTACTTTAAGATAATGAACCAATGCTGCCACCTAGTGGCTGAAACATAAAAGTTCAATTTTAGTCTTCCAGGTCTGGATAAAAAACACGTTTCTAACTAATAAAATCAACTAAAGACCAAAAAAATAAAGAGCAGGAAGAATAAAATCACACCATCTAAAATACATTCACAGTAAATTTACATTTGATTAACGGCAAGAAGAACGACAAGAACAAAAGAAAAAGAATGAAAGACAAAAAGATATAGAAAGAGAAAAGGCAAAGCTAAAAGAATGAGGCCAAAGAAAATACAGAAAAAAGAATGAAAGACGAAAGAGAAAGGAAGAAAGAACGAAAGAAAAAAAAGCAAGACAAAGAAAGATTGAGAAAAATGAGAGACAAAAAAGAACAAAAGACAAAGAAAAAGAAAAAATGAAAGAGCGAAAGACAAAAAAAGGGAAGGAAACAAAAAGAAAGAAAAAAGAATGAAAGAAAGAAGTATTAAAGATCACAACAGAAAATGTGTTGGAAGGAATCCTGACATTTACACGACATTAAAACAAAAACAAACAGGAGGATGGAATTATCTTTATTTTAGAAAATATTACAATTTT